TTAATCAAAATTAATAAAATTAACTTTAAATTATTAAAGTTACAAACAGTACAATCTCTTATGCTTAAATCTGTTTAAAATCACTAGTCACAGGCCTCAAAAAACATGTGAAAATGAAAAACGATCACCCAGGTTCAACATTGAATATCCTGCGATGTGACTATTGCAAATGACCACATTGTGATATCGATGCTGAAACACTATATTGTGCAGCCCTAGTACTGTGCCTAAATAGGGCTACCTATTATTTCACCGTTTCTAAAGATTCTCGCTTTGGGTGTTTACACAGAAAGGATAACCATAATTCTTTAAACATGCTTTGAAACTTAAGTGTGAAAAATAAAAAATACAAAAATTAAAATAATAAAAAACTGCAACAGCATTTCAGCAAACAAGTTGAATCTGACGTATAAAAAAATTAAAAAATTACTTGACAAATTTAATACAAATGAGAAATCGCAATATATAAAGTATATAAAGTTTTTTTAAAGGCACGACAAATGTGAAAAAACAAAAAAACTGAAGTAAATCAATAAATGAAGACTGAAAAAGTGAGCATTAATAAATATGACAAAAAGAATAAGAAAATACTAAAAGATCACCTTAAAAAACACTGCCAATAAAAAGCAAACTATTATATTGTGTGATGGATTTACAATCAAAAATGCTATTATAATGGAAGTCAAAGGGGCAAAAGAAAAACACCAACATAGACACCAACATACTGAAAGCGTGGCCCAGACTATATTGTTGAGTTTGTGAAAAATTCAAGAGCATTTTCCTAAAATATACATATCAAAATAAGATGTCACTAAAAATCATTGCATTTGCTGAGAAACAGAGGAAACTGTGGCCAAATAAATCCTAAAAATTACCCCTGAGTGAATGAAAACATCCCCAACAGCACACAAGGTTTAAGTCTATATAATAAGCCTTCAGGCCATAAGCTTTCAGGCTATCAAGGCAGACTCCAGTTACTAAAAACAGCCTGCAAAAATCAGGAGGAATCTGGAGAAATCAATCAAGGTGACCTGCATCATCACATCATCAATTTAGGAAAGATTGGTTTTATTTTTGCACATTCAGACTTTCTCCTTAATAATATCATTTCAGAAAAGTATTACTTGCAAAATATAAATAGTGAAATCACATTATCAGGCAATGATTATCAAACTACAACATTTCTCACAGTCATATAAAAAGTGCTAATGTTGTTTTGAAGTCAAACTTGCATGTGATTTCAGACCGAATATTCAAATTACCATGGTAAACAATATAGGGAGCATCTAACAAGTTGTCACTAAATGAATGTGCAAATATAAATCCAACTTTACCTCAGTATTAAAGTGTGCAAAGATCTCTCTTACACATACTCTCTCTCACACTCCATAAAAAAACAAAAATTAAGGTTTTCTGCAGTGTCACTGATGACAATTTTTACCTGTTCCCAGCAGGGAAAAGCACCAACAATAAAGAATGCACGATCATATGGTGTCATGGCTTTACAATCAGATAATACTTTTCTACTGGAGGTTAATGGGGGAAAAAAAACATGAAAAGCCACCAACATAAGAAAATAGTAGTCAATTTGAACAGACTTTATTGTTGAGTTTGTGAAAAATTCAAGAGCATTTTCCTAAAATATACATGTCAAAATAAGATGTCACTAAAAATCATTGCATTTGCTGAGAAACAGAGGAAATTTTGGCCAAAGATTTCCTAAAAATTTCCCCAGAGTGGATGAAAACATCCCCAACAGCACACAAGGTTTAAGTCTATATAATAAGCCTTCAGGCCATAAGCTTTCAGGCTATCAAGGCAGACTCCAGTTACTAAAAACAGCCTGGAAAAATCAGGAGGAATCTGAAAAAATCCATCAAGTTGACCTGCAACATCACATCATATATTTAGGACAGATTGGTTTTATTTTCACACATTCAGACTTTCTCCTTAATATAATTTCAGAAAAGTATTGTTTGCAAACTCTAAATGGGGATCACATTATCAGTAAATGACTAAGTACAACATGGTTTACAGTTTATTAATGCTGTGCTGTTTTAAAGTAACACTTATAGCAATTTCAGACCAAATATTCAATATAGCGGTAAGCATTAGGTGGACGTAGCAAACTTACTGATTTTTTTCGAAAACATTTGGTAGGAGAGTCTCTGCTGTGATCATGAATAAGAGTGAGACACAAAGATTACACAGATATATATAACTTGTCTACGACCCGTAAGTATACTCAGAGATTGGTGTTAAAAGGTAATCTGTACCAGAGGTTAGACAGTTTAAAGCATTCAGGCACAGAAAATTAACATTGTACAAACTTCAAGACAGATTAATTGTATTTAGGATCAGTATATATGCAATGAATAATAATCAGTGTTTTTATTTTACTTTTAATTATTCAATTTGTTTTACCTGAATACTATTAGACTCCTTGAAAAACCAAAAAGCATTTTTTTCATTTGTAACTTTGCTTTAATGTTTTTATCATGTGATTGTTTATTACATTTTATGCAGATGTGCTCCACTACAAAATCATCCTATTGCCATCAGAAATTATCCTAAAATTATGAATTCTTTCCAAATAGAGCTTTTCATTTTCCCTGTTAAAACTATACTCAATATCGCCATATGTATCAAAGAAAAATAAAATGTTGCAATGTCAGTTTTTCTAATATCGAGCAGCCCTACACAGTACACTGGAAAATAGAACATTGCAATATTTTTTATTCTTCATTAAATATTCACAAAATATTTCACCAGGCCCGTAGCCAGCCATGTGTAAGGGGTGGTTCTTTTTTTCCCCAAAATGTGGACTTTTTTGCAGTTATTATATTCACCCCATTTCTATTTGATTATGATGTTTAACTACTCTAATAAGTGGCACTTTAAGCACTATTTTAGTTGGATTAGCTTGTTGTATCTATTTTTTTAAGTACCAAAAATATTTCCTAAAGATTTATAATAAATAAAAAAAAGTCAAAAAAAATTTCTAGCCCCTCTTGAAATTCATCTAACAACAACAGCCTAATTAATATAAACAGCAAAAGTCAGTCTGAGACACTTGAAAAATGTGGGGAAAATATCAAAAGCCTTTACTGACATGGCTATTTCTTCAAACTGCGCCTACACATCTTGATAACACTTGACTTCATAAGGGTAACCTGATGCAGCCGCAGTTAAGGAACAGCCATGTCAATAAAGGCTTTTTTTTCACATTTTTGAGTGCCTTGGACTGATTTTGATGTTTATTCTGATGAATCCCTTACACCAGGTGTGACCAACCCTGTTCCTGGAGATCGACCTCCCTGCAGATTTCAGTTGCAACCTATATCAAATACACCTGCCTGTAATTATCAAGTGCTGTTCAGGTCCTAATTAATTGGTTCAGGTGTGTTTGATCAGGGTTGGAGATAAACTTTGCAGGAAGGTCGATCTCCAGGAACAGGGTTGAGCACCACTGCCTTACACAAAGAGAGCACCGACACATTAAGTTACATATAAGAACTTTGTATGATTTTGGATTTTTATACACAACCTAATTAGTATTAAACTGTGTACAGAACATCATTGTCAGTGTTGCCAACTAAGCAATTTTGTAGCTAGATTAAGCAACTTTTTATACTACCCTATAGCAGCTTTTTTTTTTTTTTTCAAAAAGCAAAAAATTTGGCAATTGACAACATTCATTTGGCTACTTTTAGCAAATTTTTAAGTGACTCAGAGCAGTGACAGCAGGCTTTGATCAGTAAATTGCTAGCTCAGATTGCATTTCATAACTGTTAATTGTTGGTAACTTGGGTAGCAATAAATTCCAAGTGCTGTAATTGCTGTCACTTTCACAAATGTGTTAATTTCACAAGTTAAAAAGAGTAAGTACAGATTGTTTAAAAAAATGTACCTGTTCATTATCAGTGGTATATGGGGGGAAAAAATATCAAAGTGTTTGTATTATTTTTACATAGTCAATTCTATTTTTCATACAAATCTATATGGACATATTTCAAATAGTGTTTTTGCTGAGATGGCCAGTCAATTTGAGAAAACGTAAATTATTTTTTATACAACATAAAGATGTAGTTTTGAATTGATTATGCAATGACGACATCGCGCAAAGCTATATGTTAATCAGAACCTATTTATATTTGGATGTAATGTTTAAATATAACATAATATACAGATTATTAAATGTCCTGTTCATAAATATATATTTTTAGTTAGATTATGCTAAATATGAACGCTAAGTTAAAGTATCAGAAAGTGAGTTATAAACGATTATAATATGCAGAATTGATACTCTCAACAAATAATTTCAGGTATGCAAAAGCCCAATTGCAAATTAGTATAGATTTAATTAGAAAAATTTAAAACGCAAATAGTTGGATAGTGTGATGGTTAATAGTAGCCTTGTTATACGTTTTCATATAAAGATATGCATTTTTTCCTATTGTTTATATGTAAAGTTGCATTTTGAAAATAAAATTATAACCAAAGAATAGTGTAACATGGAGTAATGATGTGCTTTGATAATGCAGTGGAATTGACTACCAGACAGCTGCAGAATATTTAGACAAACAATTCACTCCTTTCTAAAATTCCAAGGACCATTAAGTTACCTGACTGACAAAAACCCAGACAACATTAGATTTTTTTTAACATTCATTTATTGACAACAATATCACTAGATTGGCTGTTTTCTTTAAATGAAGTTGAATCCTTGCATCAAATTCTTCATGCTCACTGAAAAATAAACAAAGTTATGTATAAATAATCTGCAAAATCCTTTACGCACTTAAAATTGACTTGTTTCTAGACCAAATATCTAAAATCCTTAATCCTCAGAAACAGTACAGATTGGCAAATGAAAAGCAAAAAAAATAAAATAAATTTCATGCCATTTTATATATTATCTGGATCTATGCGAAACATCAAAATATTTTTTAATATATTTGATTTATTCTTTAAGAATTATAACAAGGTAAAACAAAAGGACCAAGTCATTATTATTTATTTTTTATTTGCAGCTACAAATTGTGATACCAACTTTTCCATATTTTATTATTTTCTTTGAAACAAATGGTTACAATAAATATTATAAAACAATCAGTGAAACAATATGAATGCATGTGCAATGCAAACTTCATAGCTAATATACAAAATGCACTGTATAGCTAAATAAAAATCAGTAGACCATTTAAAATTGTGAGTTTTTTTTTGCATTTATAGATATATGATAGTTTAACTGTTTAAACTAGAACATTATTGCATTATATTAAATGTAATTGAATGCAATTATGGTTGAGTGTGGTATAGTTCTGGTTGCTTAGGCCATAGATCTTTCTGGATCCAAGTCTGCAGTCTCCCCTCCTCTTGGAAATAGTTGGCAACACTGATCGTTGTGTACACTGAAAAAAAAATGCTGCAAACAATTTATGTGTTGAATTTAAACAAAGTAAATTTAGTAATGTTCAACTTAGTTTGTTTAAATTCAGCCCGAATAAATTGTTTACAACCACTTAAATTAGTAAATGCAAGGATTCATATTTGAATATTTTTATATATTTATATATTTTTATATATATTTTTATATTTTATATGGGGTCATAAACACCCCAAATATTAACAAACACACCCTGAATCTAGTTTATTAAAAAAGCGGCACATCCGCATATACAAATAAATAATGTTTAATTCAACATTCACTCGACAGCACATCCGCATATACAAATAGATAGTTTAATTCAACATTCACTCGACAATCACTGTCTGGATGACGACGATAAATCGACTGAGTGTATCACAAAAACTCTTTAAAACGAAGCAAACTAGTATAACAGTTTCTCATTTAGGCTAAACATTAAGCAGAATTCAATAGGGTATATGCCGAGCTACTGTTTTTCCCATACTGATAAACTTCTGGTGACCAGTTATTGTGAACTTTTTTCTGTTTTATACGGTTCCTTTTACAGTATCGATTTTGCAATGTCATTAAAATAACTTCAGTTAAATAAACTTTGGCATTTATTTAGTTGCTTAAGCGTAAAACGAGAATAAAGCCTTTTGCTCGCACGCGCCCGTCAGAATCGGCAGGATAGCGCAAAAGCTCCATTGAATATACTGGGGTAAAATAAATGCTCTTATTATAAAAATGATTTAAGTCATATGAACATGCTAATAGGACTTTTAATTAACCAGTAACCTGGGTTAAGCGCTTCCGGCGAATTGAATGCCAATGCAAAATCGGTACATCTGTTTCCTTTAAAAATCAGCGACCTCCACTGGCTGAGTGATATCCGATTTAAAGTGGGTCTCAGATTGTACAAGAAGCACTTCATTAAATTACATGTTACCCCGCCATGTCTTTATATTATGAGCATTTATTTTATCTCAGTATATCAATAGAGCTTCTGAGTTAGCCTGCCGATTCTGACGGGCGCGTGCGAACAAACGGCTTTTGTCTCGTTTTACGCTTGAGCAACTAAATAAATGCCAAAGTTTATTTAACTGAATGTATTTAATGACATTACAACATCGATACTGTAAAGAAAACCGTATAAAACGAAATAAAGTTCACAATAACAGGTCACCAGAAGTTTATCAGTTTGGGAAAAACACTAGCTTGGCATATAACGTTACCCTATTAAAATGTAAAGCTATTTTCACAAACAAAACTTTACTCAATTCAAACCGGGCTGCAGGTTAGCAACACCACTACGTTTATCAACAACACAAACGAACATAATTACCTTTTGTAAGCTGCTTTACAGATGGGTCTCAAACTCCTGGTGTGAATTTGAGGATGATGTGTCGACCTCAGGCCAAAAAGCTTTTTGGCGGTAAACGGCGTGGATCCCATCGAGTGTTTGGGGCGTTTGTTTGTTTGACGTTATTATCGGAGAACTTAGCAAACTATCGAACTGGCAAACAGGTGAGCCAGCTGACGAGCGTATTTATACCAAAATCACAACCTGCCCCGCCCCTGTGCGACGACGTCACTACACCCGCCCTCCACATTTGCAATCACGTGGTTTTGGTGAGGCGCGAAATTCAGATGAAGGAGGGCAGGAACACAGAGGAAAGGCCGTGTTTTTGCGATGTATATCATATGTCAAAGGAGATACAAATAGAAAATAAGCACATATGATGGGCATGATCCTTATATTATGATGAGGGCCGAGTTTTCCACTGAAGTAAAATATATTTGCCTGCCATTGAGGCAGCCGCAGTAGATAGCTACTACAGTATCATAGATATATGCACTAGATATCGCATAGGGATCCTGAGCATGCGTCTATAGCGCCGCCACATTTGTACATTGCTCCCAGGACAAATGTTATTCAACAGCTCTAGTCAAGACAGTGTTAATACGTAAAGATGCTGGACTTTAGCGCTGTCTACGGGTGTAGTAACGAGCAAACAAAGAAAACAAAGCACAACGGCTGAACATTACGTAATTAAGGTTTAGTTTTTTACGTTTTTGTATGTATGTTATGGACTTTTGTGCTAACAGGTAATGTTTTGATGATAATACAGTCACTTACTGCATTCACCATAAGGCAAAGTAGCACCAGGTCACACTAAACACTGTGCTTATGCTAGTTTTGTTGAATAAAATCAGCAAACAATGCAAAAGAAATGACAACGAGATGCTGTGGACTCATCCATACTGAGAAACGCTGTGGGTCAAAAAGAGCAAGAGAGGCAGAAAAGGCAGGCAGCGGCGTCATTATCTCAAAATATTGAACATGTGTTTAAAAAGACTGCCAAACAGGGTAAGGCTAAAGTTACCTACTTCCCAACAGACGAAAATATGCCCCATCCATGAGGTTCTAGGCTAAGTGGCCGCATCATTAGCCGGGTCGTCCTGTATATTCCCGTCACCTGTGTTTATGAGGCTGTTTAGTCACTTCATTCGTTTTATTCTGATCACATTTAATCCAATCGCTCAAACCACTTTAGAAGGTGATCTAGGATGCACTCCAAATGAAACTGCACAGGTATAATCATTCATAAATTAATATAAATAAAATAAATTATGACCTGGTGAAAATCGGAACTGCGCCTGAAACACCTGGTAAGCTTTTACAGCCAAAATTCTATTAAAACATGTTTACTATGAACATAAAACCTGTGTTCTAACTTTTCAGGCCTGTTTCCAGGGGGGGTTGGTTCAGAAGACCAACCCCTCACTGACAAAGGTCCAGAATTTGCCCCGATACATAATCTCATTTGTCCTATTTTGACTGCTATGCCATCATAAATAATGAAAATAATCAATTGAAAAAGGCTTTAAGACCAAACAATTCCTCTGTCGACTGTTGCAAAACATTTTACAGGTAACTTTATTCTATATCTTGGACCTTATTTCTGAAATAAAAATGAGCAATAAAACGATGTGAAGTACCAGAAGTGGACCATATTAAATTGATATGAATATATATTGGCTATTGTTGATATTGAGGTATTTTCAAATGCACTTTTTTTAACCAAAGAAGCTAGAAAAATTCTGCAGAATTAATTATTATTGTATTATTATTATTATTATTATTATTATTATTATTATTATTATTATTATTATTATTATTATTATTATTATTGTTGTTGTATTATTATAAATATGTTTTAATGATTATTTTTTATTGAAATGGCCAAAATGTGACTGGAATGTGCAGTGGAATGTGCTGGCCAGTTTGCGGTCTAATAAATGATATTAGGCCGCAGTTTGTTTTTTTACTTTAAACTTTAACAGATTCCTTTTTTTTTTCCTAATGATATAATGTAATAAATTTGTTTTAATGTTTCTTTATTGGAAATTTTTATAAAATATTTTTAGTACATCAAAAAGTGTGGTTGTGATGACATCTGACTAGCTAATCCAGAAGAAAAAGTACTGCTTAATGTCACTAAAATGCAGTGTTTAAATCTCATAGAAACTGGGGCGTTAACTGCAAAAGGTCCACTTTTTGAGAAAAAAAGAACCACTCCTTTCACCAGGCTGGCTACTGGCCTGGCCAGTGAAATTCTCAGATGCTTTCAGAGAAAGAAAAACAATCACCACCAATCACCTGACTTGAATCCAATAGAAAATACAAATTAAAAATCAGAATTGATAGACGAGACGAGTTGAAAAGTCTTAACTCTCGGTATCTCCAGGGATGACTATTTCAATGAGTGCCCTATAAGGGGTTAATAACTGAAGCTTTGTGCTGGAGTTTAGAGGGAAATTAAAGTATGGTCAGAGGATAATTCACTGGCCCTTCAGGGTTGTTTCGATTGTACAGACTGGTCTGTTTTTAAAGAAACATCTGAAAGTATTGATGAACTCACAGAAGTAGTGTGTGATTACATATCTTTTTGTACAGATATGATTATTCCTCACAAAACTGTTATTGACTTTCCAAATAACAAACCTTGGCTGTCAAATGACAAAAAATCTCTCCTGCAAAGTAAACATAAATATTTTAAACAGGGTGATATGAGCTCATTTCAGCAATTAAAAAAGGCAGTGAGAGTGCAGATAAACATGGATAAAATTAGGTATAAGGACAAAAATGAGAAACAGTTGAGCAGTAATAATTTAAGATCAGCCTGGCAAGGGGTGAAGGCAATGGCTGGGTGTAAAGAAGATAGAGGGAGCAGTGAAATCAATTTAAATGGTTTTAGTTCTGCGAGAGAGTTTGCTGAATAACTAAATACATTTTACTTAAGGTTTGATGAGGATGATTTTAAGTTAGAAAATGACATTTTAAACAACACCTGTCATGTATACTCTGTAAACGTTAGTAGAACTCAGGTCAAAGGCCTCTTTCAGAGAACTAATACTACAAAAAAAGCCCGGGTCCAGACAATATTGGTGGTAGGGTGCTACATATGTGTGCGGAACAGCTTTCTGAAATATTTCATTACATTTTTTTTTCACTGTCTCTTATGTTACAAAGGGTTCCTGAAATCTGGAAGAAATGTTATTGTTCCTATAGCTAAAACTAAGTTTCCTTTAGGAGTTAAATTATTTTAGACCTGTTTCCCTTACTTTATTAGTTATAAAGTGTTTTAAGAAAATTATATAAAGGTGAGATTTTATTGCAGTCTAAGGATAAATTTTATCCATTGCAGTTTGCTTTTAGACAGAGCAGGGGAGTTGAAGATGCCACTGTTAAATTACCTGTTTAATCACCTGGAAAAGCCTAAGACTCATGCCAGATTGTTGTTTATTGATTTCTCTTCCACTTTTAATACTATAAAGCCACATTTGTTGGTGGAGAAATTAATTTATCTTTTTAACTTGGATCTTAATATTTGTGGATGATTCTTGATTTTTTAGTTGGACGTCAGCAGTGTGTCAGAGTTAATGGTGCTCTTTCTGACTTCCAGTATTGTTCCACTGGGTCCCCTCAAGGTTGTTGCCTCTCACCTCTTTTGTTCATCATATATACTAATGATTGTCGTAGTATTCACAGTGATTGTCATATCATTAAATACGCAGATGATTCTGTGATTGTAAGTCTCCTCCACGATCAGGATTTGGGGCTGTGCTGGAGTTTACTTCCTAGATTTTCTCTCCAGTTGAATGCAAGTAAAACAAAAGACATGGTGATAGATTACAGGAAGGCTTCTCCAACCCTCCAGCAAAGGCTTGGACATTGAAATTGTTGACACGCATAAATATAGGGCTCGTTATTGATAATATGTTGACATTTCAACCTAAAACCCAGGCTGTCTATAAAAAAGTTCAACAAAGACTGTTTTTTCTGAGGAAACTTAGATCATTTCAGGTTTGTACCTCTATGATGAGGCTGTTTTATAAACAATTAATGGAATCAGTTTTATCTTTTTGCATTGTAGCTTGGTACGGTAATCTGAGTGTGTCAAGCTAGAACAGGCTGAGCAGCCTGGTGAAGGTGGCAGGCAAAATCATTGGTTTTAACCAGACTGGTCCAATGGTAATCTACCATAATTATGTTCTAAAGAGAGCTCAGGGTATTCGATGCACCCCATATCACTCATTGTACTCTCTATTTCAGCTGTTGCCATCAGGACGTCGTTTTAGGGTTCCTATTTGCAGGACAAATAGAACCGAAATTATTTTATAATGGTGGCCATTAGGTCATTAAAAGAGTCCAGGGGGGAGGGGGATGTATCTACATAATTATGTATGGATGTTGTTATTAATGTGTACATGAAACTTCGCCTGTGTTATGGCACCTTGTTGCAATTTTAGTTTCCCTAACAAGATAATAAAGCTGAGTCTGAGTCTGAATTTGTGTTTAGTATAAGCGTTATTGGAAAACAAAAATTAGAGCATAAAATTAAGCTGGTTGAGCATTTTAGCAGAAGTTGCTGAAGAATAAAAGAGCAGGATAGTTTTCTCCAAATGTGCCTGCATATTAACATTTAATACATGGGTTTGTTCCGTCTTTTAATAAAGTAAAAATATCTTTTAGAAGTAGAAAATATTGACTGTTGTCAGTGATGCATAAAATATTATAAATAAATTTTATTAAAAAAAAAAAAAGGTCCAAGAAATCACATGCACCGGCATCTTATAGCCAGCAGATGGCACTGTAAAGCTTTGAATGCATAAAACATGATTGAAAAAAGATATATTCAGAATTATTATAAATAACATTTATGACTAAATTAATAATATGATTTAAATATTTTATATATTATATAACTTAAATATTGTAATTATATCTAAATATAATAGTTATAGAATAATTCTATATTTGTAATTGTTTTAAAATAATAATTGTTTATAATAATATTTATATGCATATGATTTGGTATGAATGGCAGTAATTGTAGTGGCATATTTGATTAAAAAAATAATCTGATAAGATTACACTCTATACACTCTAAGAAATGCTGGGTTACGTAAACCCTAATTGGGTAAATTATGGACTAACCCAAACATTGAATTAAATTTAATAAATGGGTTAAAAGATTAACCCATCAGTTGTGTTAGTCCCTATTATACCCAGAATTGTGTGATAATCCAGAATTTATTTTTAGAGTGTAGTGCTTTTTCACAATAATTATGGTTCCATATTAAAAGATCATAGGTGATCCCCAAAATTGTCTAA